GAAGAGGTGTCGTAAGGGTGGGTTAAATCGTAAAATGCCGTTAGTGTCCAGGTCACGAGTTAAATAACCATGAGAAAAACGTTTGCTGTAAATCATTTTGGATTTATCGGCATTAAAAATGATGGAAAGAATGTTCTCCCTTTTATCACGTTGTTAAGACCCTCGGCCCGGGCAATCTACGATGGAAGATTGGAGAGAAAAACCGCCCCAACAAGCGAAATTTTCTCAATTAACTTTTTACAAAATCAAAAGACACCTCAGTTCAATCATTTTTCACTCCTCTCACATCTCCGCATTTATCTCGAGAACGAGTCGATTTACAAGAAAATGTCGCTGAACATTTTTTGCAGAAAATTAAATTTCCAAGAAAAAAATTCTTTTGACTTTTTTCTCTAAATCCACTATTTGCCGAGATAATGGCCCTCCAAATATCTTGAGATTTCAAAAGGTTATGAAAATTTCATTATTTCCATCATTAACTCAGTTCTTACCCGAGAGTACGACCTCTGGCCAACCCCTGCGGTACTAAGTACCAACGTACGTGCATCGTTTTCCCCTCCCCCCAACCGCATCCCCCTCCCCCCTCTCTCCTGTACTTTCTGGTCCATCCACTCGACCCCGCCGTTTCCCAACTACCTACCCCACTCGAGTTTGTCGGGCTTAGCAAGTCAAATTAATGCAGATTTTGCGACCCGCATATATCCCACCACCTCTCCTCAACCCTCCAGCCCTTCTCTTTTCGGTTTACCCACGAAATTTCATCCAAGTTTCCCCACTAACAAATTTCGCGCCGTCAAGATTTTGAGGGGTTTGATAAACATTCAACCACAAGTTTCAATCAAACTTTTCAACGAGTCCATTTTTGTTGGCTCAATTCTCCGTTAATTAGATTCATCAGATGATTATGAGACGCGAGAAAGTCGATATAAAATGGCAGATAATTTTTTAGGAATTTTCTTGCCAATTAAAATATTTTTTACCCTAAATATTATTCAAAAAAAAAGATTCGCTATTGTTCCACCCGCCTCTCCATTTTGCCCCATTCCCCCTCAGGGTTTCCTAAATATAAACGTCACAATTATTCACTAGTTTGTCCGTTTGTTTTTTATTCATCCCTTGAATTCTCATTTATTGGACGTTTCGTTTTTTTTTTTTAATTATTTTCCTCGTCTGGTTTTTGTTTCTTCTATTTTCCCGGTTCTGGTGTTTTTATTCGGGCTTGGATACGCACTGTTGTCCCTAGGACAAACAACGGTCGTTGCGGTTGGCCCCTTTGTTTACACGGGAACACGATGATCAAGCAGATTGCAAAGCCACAACTGGTTGGGGCGGAAAATAATAGGGTTTTTTCGGTTTATTTTTTTGGGTTTCTTTGATTGGGAAAAAATTGGAGTTGAGTTTCAGGGGGTTTAAATGGTGGCGGCAGATGAGTTTCCGTAATTCATAGATTTTTCGTTGATTGGAGAAAAAATTTGTTTATTTTTATTTTTTTATTTTTTTATTGGTGATAAAATTTTTTGGAAATAATGAAATAGAGGGGATAACGCCTTTTTTTTCAGAGGTGATTTTTCAAAAATTTATTTTAAAAAAAGTACTAACTAGCAAATGTTTTTTATTAGCTCGCAATTTTCTTCAATACTACTTCAATGAGGAAAAAAATAAAAATTTGGAATATCTATACATGAGAGGCTAATTGATCGGATCTTAAATATGGCCCTTTGGCTCCAGGTGAAAAAAAAAAAAAATTTATTTCTGCATTCCTGGGGCAAGTGAGAGGCGCAGTGGCATTAGGCGGGTCAGAAAATACAGAATCGACTTTCACTCGGCGGAAAAATTCGATTTTGGCGAAAGCCGACTTTCCCCCCGAAAAAAGCCTAAATATGGCACTTTGGCTCCGGGTGAAAAAAATTTTTTTTTTATTTTTGCATTTCTGGGACGAGTGAGGGGCGCAAAAAAAATTGAGAAATCCACCGGTAGAGATCAATTTACCGACTCGACATTTCTATTAATATCTGATATATCCGGGTAGATTTTCCATTGTACATGTCTGTACATGCGATTATTATCCATCACATTCGAGCAATTCTTCATGTACTTCATTTTGCCCCAGCCCGCAACCACTCCAGACTGTTCGTTAGTCGAATTACTCACCAAGCAAAAAGAGAGCCCTCTTTTAACCTCATACCACATACACCTCTCCCACTTCTCTCTTTCCCACCTCATTCTCACCCAGCACTTGTGACCCACAAAGCGTACGGAACCCTTTCATTTCCGGGAGATGATGCAGACGCTCTCAGAAATGTACCCCAGGTGCCTAGTAATTAAAATTGCAAGATCAAATAAATTTATTCTTTTACTTTTTCGTTTATCAAGGGTTTTATTTTATTTTTATTTTTTGGGCGACGCGGGTATTGGAAATACTTCGGTGGTCTCCGAATATATTTTCGCATTGTTAAATTATTAGGATATTTATTCACTGTACGAGGACACTTCAGGTTAGTCTAGTAGTACTGCGGTAGAATTAATAACATTTGAAATTTGTCTGCAAGAGTGTAATTAGAGTCATTATCAAATGAAAAGAATGTGAAAAATTGTCGAATTATTTTTACGAAAAATGTCGAATTATTTCTCTGCAGATAAATTTCACCCGTAATACATGCACGTGACGAGAGCCGGATGTGAGACGCACTCTAAAGATAATTATTCTCCGCGAAAAAATTGAGTTGAAGAGAGCGGGACAAAATGAAGCGGGAAAAATGGCTAATTAGGAAACCTCAGGAAGTTTTTTCAAGGGTCGTTTGACCCTCAGCCGTGAAGCGCTGTGGAAGGTCGTTTGACCTCCAAGACCATTTGACCCTTAACGAAAAACGAAAAGAGTCAAGAAACTTTTGTTTTTCGTTTTTAGTTGAGGGTCAAATTATGTTGAGGGTCAAGGGGCCCTTGCGACGTTTCGATTCGAGGGTCAAATGGTCGTGAGGGTCAAATGGGTTGGGGCAGGGTGACCGGAAAGGCCCGGTTCTTTCATACGACCATTTGACCCTCGACGAAAAACAGAAAAAAGCTTTTTCTCTGTTTCTAGTTGTGGGTCAAGTGATTTTGAGGGTCAAGCGGCCCTTGAGAACGTTTGCATTTGAAGGTCAACTTCTCTTGAGGGTCAAATAACCTTGAAGAACGCTCAGGGCTAATGGTCAAATGGATCAGAAAGGGTCATTTGACCCTTAACCTCACAACTTCTTCAAGGGTCGTTTAACCCTTTAACCCTTTGACCTTCAACTCGAACAAAAAAAATCAGGAAACATATTTTCGGTCGTAAGGGTCGAACGGCCCTTACGGACGTCTCGTGTTAAGGGTCAAATCGTCGTAAGGGCCGTTTGACCTCCAACTCAAAACAAAAAAATCCTCAATTTTTCTCAAAATTCGGTTTTTCTCACATGCCATTTTGCCCCACTCTCCCGTATCAGCAACATGGAATAGTTCTCGAGCCCTGATGACTCCAAATGACTCGGAATGATTTAAAAAATTGTTGAAGTAGTGACGTTCAAGGGGTGCAATTACCCAAGGGAATAGAGTGCCTCTCCAGTCGGGCAATGAAGCGAGTGCCATTGATCCAAGATCTATAGTAATTTTAGTAATTATTTTAATACTCGTGTGCGAGCATATCCCATTGTCCCCATCAGTACTCCAATGAGAATCGATAGTCACTTTGAGATTAATCGAATTTAGGTTATGACCCTCTTAATTGCGAGTTCTTAAGAGGGGTCACGACCCAACGGCCAATTTAATAAAATTACGTTCGCTGAGAATAATCAGGGAAAAATTCTCAACCACAAAAAATAAAAAAAATTTTATCCGGAGAAAGGACTGCTTTGAGACACTGGGAGATGCTCATTTATGATGAAAAAATGGATTATAATTGTATTTTTTACCAATTCCTCACGTTTCGTCTCAAGAATTTCATTCAGAAAAATTATAAAATTGGAATATATTCGAGTTGTAATTTTTTTAAATTCATGGATTACTTTTCTCGACTTTTTTTCATCCTGAGACGAGGCTTGTGATGTTTAAGTTAAGCTACAATAATTTCCTCAGGTGTTTTCCTCTGAAAACTCAAAATTACGTGAATTAATTTGAAAAAATAAACGATTTAATCGTCGTTTTCTAGTTTTCGAGATTCATAAAGTTGATTATCTTGTGAATGCACGTGATTCTGAGTTCATTCGATACATGACAAGATTTGTAAATGGGTTTTCAAAAATAATGCAATAAAAAACGGACGAAAAATAACAATTTTTCGCATTAAAAAACGTTTTTACGAATCTTCATCACAACGCAAACATTTGGATTTTTGACTAATTAATTCGTTTGTGATCATTCACAGGTGAACAACGCAACAGCTCGAGTGCAGACGAAAAAGCCACCAACAGTGCCCAACGGTAAGTACCCCATAAATTAATAAATTTACGGAACGCGTCAAAATTAAAAATTCAAAATCACTGAATTTTCCCATCAGTTTTTTCTAAATATCTCGGAATGCGTTCGAGATACCAAATCAACACCCTAGAACTTTTTTCTGGGAAATTGAATTCTCTGCAAAAAATGTCTTCTCTCATTTCCCCTCAAAACCACTCCCTCCCGAGATATTTCCAAAAAACAAGAGTCAAAATCAATACAAAATTGTTATTAATCCTGAAAACCTCGATAATTTCTTTTTAATTAAGAGTACATTAGGGCTCTCCACCTCATCAGTAATTAAAAATTGTCCCAGTGTTCACAGACACACCCCCCTGGTCGTCGATTTGTAACGCGACCCGTGCGTGGGGTGACGCAGGGGGAGATCGACCACCTCGCTAATCCCAGTCTAATCTCGTTTTAATTGTGTCGGCATTTGAACGCTGACTTAATCCGGATTACGGTGCCAGCTGCGCGTCGTACGCCACCCCTCCCACACCTCTCACCCCCTCACTCCCCCCACTGTAGACTACTATTACTCTTACCCATCTTTCATTCTCTCAAACTTCCGCATTAGAGCGTGATTCACTCGTTTTTCCTCTCTTCCGAGCATTTCCAGAAATATCATTTATGATATTCATTATTTTGCGTGATTCAAAGCTCTCGAAATTATCTCACGGGTTCTTGAAACATATTTGATTTGCGATTATGACTCTTGATTTTTTTCTAGAATTATTTGAATCGTCTGATCAGAATTTTCGATTTGAGAAGGAGAAAGTTTTCGGTTTTAGGGGGGGAGATCTCGGAATTGGTAGAGTGGAATTCAAAAAAGCTGACGTCATTTTGAAGATATTTTTTCAATCTTTGAAATGAGTTGTGACTCATCTCAATCGCATCGTTTGCCCAAAAGATAGAAATCATTTCATTAGAAAAAAAAATGAACAACAGCGGAAAACTTCATAGTAATCCGTAAAAATCATGGAATTGTCCGAGTGAAATTCGAAAAATATTGCTCCATTAAAAAAAAATAAAATTAGCATCATCAGTCTCAAACATCCGAAAAATTTTTACAAAACTATTTTCATTCCGCAAAATTCCCCAAATTAAGCAATTCCAATAAATCCTCAATTAATTCCCCGATAAATGTCATCGAAATCCCTCTCTCGCTCTCTATAAATATCCACCTGCTTGGAGCCCCAGAAATTTCGAAAAAAAAAAATTCGGAGCATCCTCAAGCCGAGCAATTAGTGCAAAACGATGATATACCACGTTTAATTGACTCTGAACGTTATAAATATCCTTCGTGAAGCGTGTGACAATAATGATCGTCCCTGCCAAGCGTTTCCCAACGGCACTGCCCAAAAAGCCCATTGCCATACTAATAGCCCCTCTCCCCCTGCCCCATCCTGCCCCTCCCCTCCAACTCCCCAATGAAAACTCACGCCTCAGAGGTATAACGAGCATATTCTCCTGTGCACTTGGCTCCCCAACACACGAGTTGAACCATGATACAGTGCACATAGCCTTCTCTAGTCTCTAATTATAACCAAATTCATACGACCGCATTCTCACCGATCGACTCACCCCGCTGACCATTAAACTGGTGCATCCATCAAAATCCCTCAGTCTAAAATCTCCCTGCCGACCCTCTCTCACCCCCCCCCCCCCCCCCCCCCCCC